GTGCAGCCGGCCCACCCAGCCCTCCCTCCGGTGCAGCCCCATCCAGCCGCTCAGAGCCTCTCGCAGCCACTCTCTGCCTATAACAGCAGCAGTTTGAGCCTCAACAGCTTAAGGTAGGCGAGCAGACGCGTGCGCGCTGAAGCCCCCTGTCTTTGCAGGCCCGGTGCCTGGTGGAGATGCTTTACCATCCCTGGGGGAAGTGGCAATGAATTAGCTAAAGGAGAGAAGTAACAGCACATCCCGTCCCGTCACTGGGAAATAAAGGAGATTCTGTGCATTTAACGTTAATTCCTTCCCTGAAATGAGCCAGAATCACTTTATTTCTGATCCAGCGTTCCCATGAATGCTAGGTATTGGCAAGCACTTAGTTAATTCGCTTTGACTTTGCCTGACTGTTACTGTGTACTCAGTTTTTTGGAGGGATTTTATGCAATATAGACCAGGGGAAGAAAATCCTAATGCTGGCAGGTTGGCCTGTTCTCTGAAGGCTGTCGTCTTCTACCCTCCCGTCCCTGTACACCCCTTCTGCTTTCTCCGACTACTGACATGCCCTAGAGCGAGAAGTGTGGTACAGCTGCTGTTGGCCCTGCTGACAGCCGGGCACAAATGGTCTTGCATCAATGACTTTAAAGCTTATTTTTTTCCTGCACTGCTGGCACCTTGCAGTCTTTGGTGGTTTTCTCTTCACTTGGCCACAGTGAGATAAACATCACCTTTTATAGGGGGATAACAAAGATGAACAGAGAGATTAAACAACATGTTCACAGGAACCTATGATGTCTCTGTGAGTTAGGGACATCAGGTTTCCCCTGCTCTGAGCTGTCAGCACTAGGTCATCTTTCCCCAAATCTGACCTCCCAGCGGGCAGATGGTGTCCTTCAATACCTGGTGAACCAGTGTTATGGTTGCTTCATGGTTTGACTAAAGTCTGGGAGGTGTTTAAGACTTCAGTTTGTTTGTAACCAAGTTCGTATTGCTTGTTTTTTAAAAGTCACTGCAATAGAAGCGTGTTGTTACTTGAAATAATGACTAGTAGAATTAAGCGCTACATGAAGAAATTTTAAATATCTCCTCCTCATTAGTAGGAGATGAAACCTGAAAAATTGCAACCAATGTAATCACAAATACTTATTTTGCTATTGTGGGGGTAGAGAGAGGCGTTAACTGTACAATAAGCATATATCCATTGTTGCCTTCTCAACATTTTCTGCAGCCTTTCATCTTACTAAGTCATAGCAAAAAAAAATTAAACTTCTATTAATGCAGTGATCACTGATTTTGAGCTTCATTTGCCTGAAAACATGAATCAGAAGCAGTCATGTAGAAAGGACCTGATAATTAAGTAATGAATGCACAGGGCTGATTACTCCTTTGTGTGTCATTCTTGTGTTGTTGGAGGACAGAATGTTAAGCTCTTATGGGGGGAAAGAGAGAGAATCTATCTTGGGTTTTGGTGTGGAGGGACCACAGGAAGTAAAAGATACTAGAAAAGGTACAGCAGGTGGTAGGAGAAAGGAGTATCACAGTGGTATTGATATAAAAGTAGAATAGTAACTTGCATTTGTAATATATAACTTACTTTCGTAATGTGTTTAACATGAGCCATGCATAGCTTGGTGGGGTTGTGTATGTGTATGTTTGGAGCTTTTCTCTCTTCCATGCAACGCTTAATTGCTTTTCTTTTCATTAACAGCAGCAGCAGAAGCAGCACTCCTGCCAAGACTCAGGCCCCTCCTCCACACATATCTCACCATCCCTCAGCCTCACCATTCCCCCTCTCTTTACCCAGCCACAGCCCGCTGCATACCTTCACGCCCACCCTCCAGCCCCCCGCACACCCACATCACCCCAATATGTTTGCCCCTCCTACGGCTTTGCCTCCTCCACCTCCATTGACGTCAGGGACACTGCAGGTTCCAGGACACCCAGCTGGTAGTACTTACTCAGGTAAGAGACAGACGGGTCACGGCCCGAGCATGTCTAGTGCAGCGTAGGAGTCCGATTATCTCCAGTTTTAGTCAGAATAATTCTTTTTGGTCCATTGGATGAGGGCTGTTTGGTTGGGTAGAGGCTGTACTCGTTGCTGAATGATTTGGAGTGATACCAAAGCTAAAAACCACCTAGACATACCCAGTGACTTTTTGTCTGCCCTGGGAATGACGCTTTTGGAAGGCTGTGCTTCTTCCATGTCTATTTTTTTCTCTGCCTGGTGAAGGCACACTGGAGTTCACAATGTGCCCACACACAACCTGTGACCCCTTAGCAAACGTCTTTGCTGCAGCGGTGGTCTGTGCTCAGCATCGCTTTCCTGGCTGGAGGGAAGGGCTCCAGTGGCTGCGCACACAGCGGTCCCGAGCTCGTGTCCATGCAAGTTTTTAGCAGGGAGGGTGCAAGACGTAGAGGTTTGTATCAGTGGAGAAAGTGGTGCTCTTTTAGACTGACTGTGGGGAGTCGTAAAGTGTCTGTTCCTCCCAAGTCGCTGAGAGGGAACTAGGGGAAGAAAATGGAGGATTATCAGCATTTGAGTAACTTGGGTTTGTGCCCCCACAGCAGGGTGCTCATGTCAGCAGCAGCCCCTGGATGTCGACTTCACTCCAGCTTACCTGTACCGCCTTAGCTATTTAGGAGTATGTCCATATAGATTTAGAGAGACCCCTCAGGTTATGCTTGGAGGAATTCTGTAGTGAGGACAGGCTTGCTGAGAGAGGGGAAATGGAGACTTTCTTCTGTCTCTTAGGCCTTTGGGGAAGATCTGAGGGAGTTTTCTTCCCTGTACAGTGTCATGATTTACCACCAGGAAGTTTTAAATACAGCGTTGCTACCACAGCCAGCAAAAAGTAAGTGGCACAAGGTCTGGAAAAGTCCCTGAGCTCATGGGGGATTGTTTTGCTGTTTGTATTTCAGAACAAGATCTTCTCCGTCAGGAACTAAACACGCGATTTTTGGCCTCGCAAAGCGCAGATCGCGGGGCCTCCCTGGGCCCGCCGCCGTACCTGAGGACCGAGTTCCACCAGCACCAGCACCAACACCAGCACACACACCAACACACACACCAGCACACCTTCACGCCTTTCCCTCACGCCATCCCACCCACTGCCATCATGCCAACGCCAGCACCGCCCATGGTGCGTACCCCAGGCAGAAATGTGAGGATAAGTAGAGCACAACTCTATTCTTTATTACAAAAATTTAAGAATTTGCCAGGTTGCAGGGAAGGAGTATTCTGTTGCCCAGGTGTGGTTGGGTAGGAGAGGAAGGACTGTCCCTTCCTCGCAGTTGTCACGTGTGCAGTAGGTTCAGGTGGCAGCACAGGGGCTGAGGGACGAGGCTGCTGGCTGAAGGCACTCATAACTGGGACTTCCCAGTGCTTGGAGTGGTGCCCTCTGGTGCCTCCTCCTTTTTGCTGTCTCGTAAAGACCTTGTTTTACCTTGAAGAAAGAAAAATCCCAAACAGTTTCATTGGAAACGAATTTTCTGCATATTTTTCCTTCTCTGTTGGTAGCCAAATAATAGAGAAGTAGTCTTCTATTTTACCAACAGAGCTAAAGCAAGGAAATAAAAAGTAACTAGTTTGTGCTTTGATCCCTTTGCAGTTTGACAAATACCCTACAAAAGTTGACCCCTTCTACCGTCACAGTGTGAGTTTTATTACTCTCTTTAAAACTGACTTAACTGCTTTTCTGTGGTGGGTTGGGATCACCACTCAATCAATGGCACAATGTCGAATCTCTCCCTAATCATCACTCCAGGATTTACCATTATCGTTCTTGGTTGCTTTGGCTTTTGAAGGCTTGCGTTCGTGGTGCTTGTTTCTGGTAAAGATGCAGTATCAGCTTTTCCAATCAAAAGATCTCTTGCTCGTACACCATTTGAAGACAGGTTTGATGTGAAAAGATGAGGCAGAAGAGCTGACTGTTACATGAAGAGGAGAGCAGTAATTTCATCACTGTGTTTCAGTTGTGCCACAAACCCGTAGACTGATATTGCTAAGAAACTTGAAATGAAATGACAAACTATCATACAAATCCTTCAGGGATAGGTAATCTAATAGTTTTCCTAATATATCATGTTTTCTTTCATAAAATCTGAAAAGTTGTCTTGTTCTTCAGATTTCAAAGGCACATCTGATCCACTGGGCTTGTTATGTTTTGAAAGCTCTGTTAGATGACAGCAACATGAATCCAGCCATGTGTTTATCTAAGAGCTACCAAAAGTGTTATTTCTTGAGATAAACTGATTTTAATATTCCAGTTAATTGTGAAGCTTCTGCTCTTAAAGGTTTGAATCTACTGATTGGTTTGCTGCTGAAATACGGGTTGCATTTCCTTCGTCATATTGGCAGAGGCAGGTGTCCCGTTGAATATGACAAGAATTTCTAAATCCAATAGTGATATTTTGATGAGAGAAGGAGTACTGCATCAGCACTCAGAAATTTGCAAAGCACTTGGCTTTATGTGTTGGTTTTGCTTAGAAGTGGAACTGGGCAAAGAAAACTGGCTTGGATGATAGTGTGATGCTTCCTGCTGTACCAATGAAACAGCTGTTAGTTCCTGCCAAGAGCTCGTGCCTGTAGTACCTGTGGATAGTCTTACTAATTCCTGACACCTCATTCAAGTAAGTTTAACTATATGAGTGTGTTTGCAGGATCAGAGCTCTAGGAGTTCTAGGCAAACATTTAAGCCTACAATAATCACTTTACTCAAAAGGGTGATGCTGCTCAGTTGCATCATTGTTTGCAAAATTGCACTTTTATTTGCTGAGCTTTACGTAGGTTCAGAAGATACATTATCATCAATGTGGCATGTTGATTCAAGCAAGAACACGGAACTGGGAAATAGGTAAATTGATTTTAGACAAATAAAGCACAGAAGTTGACATGTAATGTAGGAAACATTGCAGAAGTCTCCAACTGTATATGCTTTTCAAATTCAGTGACATAATCTCTTACAAACCTGGCAGTTACCTGGGTTGTAAAGGTCATGGTGTTACCCCTGTCAAAGTGCACGTTGTTCTCTGTTAGCCAGTGAGCCGTGCTATCGAACTTGGCAGAGCTCCACCGGCAGAGCTCTGGTCCATTATGCTTCCCCTGCCCTTCCTTCAGGAGAGGTTTGTCCCTGTGAAGCAGTTGCAAAGTAATCACTATTGCGTCTGTTGGATATTCAGCAAGCTAGTACAAGGTGTTCGACATGGTGGCTACTAATTACGTTGGATTAAGAGTCTTCAACTACAGCAGTGCCGTACTAGCCAGGGCGTTTCAGTCGTCTTTTCTGCTGCGACTACAGATTATCCAGGTAGCAGGGGAACTGCCCGCGTCAGTTCCCTGAGCAGCGGCGGTATCAAAAGGCGTACTTCTGCTGACCTAAGTGCCGACCCAAGAGGGCCTTCCCTGTGGTAGAAGCACCGTGAAACTGTGGCCCTTCCGTAGACCTTTTCCTAGTGGCCAGATCCGCACCAAGAATTCAGATACCTTAAAAAAAGCTGGTGGTGTTTTTAAAGCCTGTAAGTGAACTCTGCAGGAGAACAAGGTGTCTGCTGGAGAGTTAAATTCCATCTATGGAGTGGAGAGCACAGCTCGCACAGAAGCTCATGGAGAGATTTAAAACAGTTTTCTTTCTTGGCCTCTCTGATGTTACAGTCGGGAGGAGGGAGGGTGGTGCTTGCTGCAGCACAGTGAGGCACTACTGGTACCTGCGGTTCACACCTGGCCCCAGATAAGCTACTACGTTGTTCCCTGAAGAAAGCTAGATGGGGAAAACGTGGCTCAAAAGAGAGGGAGAAAAAGAAAACACTGACTATGAAGGATGTATTTTGAAGGCTGCAGGAATTTAACTGATACAAAGACATCCTGGAGATACAATATTTATATTTTATTAATAATCCTTACCTTGAGGAAAGGTCACGTGTAATTAACTTATCAGTTGTTACAAAACTCTTAAGGAAAGCATTCCTTGTTATTAGTCATAGCCAATAGAATATTAAGTATTACATCTCTTTCCATCGTTTGGAATTAGTCCATTACACACAGAATTAAATGCAGAAGACACTGGAGGATTTAAAACACATTTTACTCATTAAAAGTTATTGTAAATGCGGACATGTGTCTCTTAATGATTTCTCAAACGCCTACAGTTTAGTATCAGCTAATCGAAAAATGCTTTCTGCATCACCGAATGGAGCAGGTCCAAATTAAATAGAATTAAACCCAACAATAGAAACATGGTATGAAAGGAGACTTGATACCATGCTTTCAAACCAAGAAAATCTTTTGATACCTCTACAATACTGAAATATTTTCTCAGCTTTCAGTAAGTATGATATGGATAAATGACCTTGCAAGATAAGCTAGTGGAAGGAAGGACGAGTAAGAAAAGCACATACATATGCCCGGCATACACAAATTCATCAAAACTTTGCAATACTGATTTACTTTGGTGTGATTTTCTCAGTGTTTGCCCACTCCACATGTCCAGTCTTTTACTTTGCCCAGTCCTGCTTCTGTTCAATTGGCCATTAACTCATTTATTTTGATCTTAAAAGTAGCAGTAGATAGATTTTTGATCAGCTGTGTTCAGAGGTGACTTTGTATCGGCCAGATAACCCCGTAGGTGTTTGGGTGGCAATACCAGTGGAGATAGCAGCCATCCCATGCTAGATCCCGAGATTTCAGAGTGAGAATGTGTTTGGAGTGTGATTCTTTGAACCAGAAAGCAATTTTGTGTGTAATCTCAGCATTTCCTGTGGAATTGGGCAAGTTAACTGTGTTACAGCATGAGTAAAAGATTCACAGCCGGACCACAGAGACAAGATGAGATTTGGATGTTACGGTTCACTTGCTTCCTTCCCACGTGTTTGTCTGTGTTAGTACAGAACCACCGCCTTTTTTTTTTTCTTTTTTTTTTTGCTAAATTCCCTTAGAACAGATACATCGGGATCAGTGAGGGCGGTGGAGACATGCACTTTTTTATGCTTAGTAGTCTGTCTTTATAAAAGCAGCACCCTAAATTTTTTGGGCAGGTTCTGCCTCAGCATTTTGTTTAAATAATATTTTTTAACAAATAGATTGTCTCTGTGCTAGTATTAGATGCGTCAGGATATCCTCTCAGACAGGCTAATGAAGTAAGAATTGTGCATATTTTCCTCAATTCCTACAGATACTATTAAAATCCTACTGTACTAGTGGGGTTGTGATGATACAGTGTCCTAGAATTCGTAAGGGTTTGTTTCCACTTAAACAGTAGTTTTCTGAGTCTTATTTGGCTCAACATACTCTGCCTTGTCTCTTGAAATGGTTTGCAGACTGAACCCATTGAAAACTTCCATCCAATTTAAAAATTAATAGTTGGGGAAAAAAAAGTCTCTCGTACGCTATGGTGGCCTAATCCAGGGGACAGGTTGCTGCTTTATGATTTTGGAACTGCTTTTAAGCTCTGAGCGTCATGACATTTGTGAACATTTCATGGACTGCTTTAACTAACATCGTTGCGACAAGATCACTTCCTCAGTGCTTCTCAGTTTCTCCATGTGCCATTTCCCCAGTTCGATG